AAGACAGCATGGAATGTACCGTTGTAATACATGCGGTGGGGAGGAATCTTTTAGTTTCGTATTGCCTATTGACCGTCTCTTAGGCCTCGTGTGATGCAAATTACCTAGTTACAGCGGGGCGCTGAACAATTAGTATCAGACCAGTCATGGGGGGAAAGCCTTTAAGTTCTTAGCGCGGGGAGCCCTCTTCATCTTAGAAAATGGTAAGGCTGGGGTTCTACCAAATCAAATGAAGTGGGGAAGGCTTTATTGCTTACCCACAGATTAATAAAGTTCCATCTTTAGTGGGGTGAGAATTAGTGCTGTGTTTCTTTGATTGCTTTTCTCCCAAGTTTTTTGGGCAGGAAAGGGCTGGAGAGAACAGGTCCGACCGTGGCTTTCTTCTATTCCCACTGCGTCCCCCATCGTGTGGGGAATGGTACGCCCTTAAGGGGAGGGGAGAGCGAAGCCCAGCCAGGGGGTTGGCGCTGGCCAGTCGCAGGGTGGGAGGTGGCTGGGTTGGGGGTGGTTCTGCGCAGCTGGGAGGGAGGAGCCGAGTGAACCTGGGCTTTGGGGGGTGATCATGGGCGGCTGAGGGGTGCCGAGTCCGAAGGCGGCCCGTGCCGGCGGCCATGGCCGAGGACTACTGGGACTCGTAATAACAGTAGTTGCCGCTCAGGTAAGAGATGCTTCCTGCCGGTGAAGGGATGGCGGGGGGCAGCATGACCTTTAACCTCATGTTAGGAATCTGCCTTCCAAGGAATCTTGGCCGTTGCCTTTGGACTAGATCACTCGCTCGCTACCAGGCGTCCCTCTGATCACGCAGGAGATTTGTTTTGACCTCCCTCTAATCCTTCCCAAGCATGAACTCCCCCCTCTCCATAGATCTGTTCTCCCTCATTAATTACGCAGGTTTAGCTACAATAGGCTCTCCGTCATTACACTAAAGAAGGCTTTGCGTTGGTCTACTTTTAACTCTCTCTTATCACCAAGGAGTACTGCTTCCAGACGATTTCTGAACGCTTCCTCGGTGGATCCCCTTGGACCCGGTCCCTTCCCCTTTCCCCACTTGACTCAAGGGAGATGCCTTAACACTGGGATTATTAGACATCCAAATTATAACTTCTTAATCCTTCCCTCAGGGATCCATGATCTCACTTCTTAGTACCTGAGATCCACCCATTCTGCTAATTTTTAAACCATCTATATTACTCCTTGTTGCCGTGCTGAAATTGCCAGATTTGCTTAAGTTATGAGACTCTATCCCTTCCACATTGTAAACCCCATTTGTATTGGAAAGTCTTATTTCTCCATTAGAATCTACCACTCCCAGTTAGTTGACACGCCATGGAGCCCCCTGCCCTGCCCTGCCCCCGCCCTAGTCTGGCCTTTTTTTTTTTTTTTTGCCCCAAGCTTCTTTTTGACTTTGACCTAGCAAGGACCTTTTGGGGACTCAGTTCAAGCACTTTTTGTTTGCCTCATGGCTGATGATTCAGGGATTGTTGGTCTCTGTTTAACAGGCCTATTTCTGTTTGTACTTGCTGGGTTATGTTTCATGTCTGCTCTTGTCACAAAATTGTCTTGTGCTTTGTGCTTGGTCTTTGACTTGTAAGCTTGCTTCTTTTAGTTGAAACCATCTGTGTGAATACAACATAGGGGGCATTTCTTTTGGGGGGGATCAGTTGCCTTTTTTGAACATTGGTTGAAACATTTTTCTGTTAAAGTGGTTACGTTTGCCTCCTCCTCCTGATTTGGATCAGAGAAGTAATTTTAAGAGGTGGATGGAAGAGGAAACTGGTTAATAGCCCAGCCTCACAGTTACTGAACTTTTTTGAAATACACTAAATAAGTGAAATAGGATCATGCACCCCTTCCTTGTTTCTCTCCCAGCCTTGTATAAAGACTGAGTCTGATAGGGATCCAGCATGCTCTCAGGCCACATAGACTAGAAAAAGGGGTGGAGAAACTAAGCTCCACCGCAGTCCTCTGTAGGGGATTTTTAGTGTGTCTGTTCAGGAATTCCAGCTGCTTCTAGTGGGAGTGGAAGGGAGTTCATTTGCTCACCTTCTGCCCCAAGACCTGACACTATCACCCACTTCCTTGTAAGCATGATGATGTAATCCAGGGGGTGTTCCATCTCCTCCCCTCTTCACGTGGTGCTGCATCCGTGTGCAACTAATAATGTACCAGTAGGCAAATGGTTCCTGTGATGATGCTGTGAGATTGGCAAGGATTAGTTCTTGTGGAAGGAATTGGCTTTTGTGCAGCTGCTTGGCAGGATTAGTTCTTGAGAGGTTTGATGCAGGGGCCCACCAAAGGGAGGGGGTGGTCTCTGGATCTTTTCCAGGTTTGTCCCCATACATGTGACCCAGAGTTCCCATGAAGGGTACCTTTCCCTTCCTGTCACCCTGCTTAGGGGCTTGCAGTTCCAAAACTTGGCAGTTTACCAGCTACCGTGCATGGCTGTCTGTTCTCATTTGCTTGTCAAGCCTTAGCTGATCCCTGACTAGAAAGGGGTGTGTGAGAGAGAGAGAATGAGAGACAGACAGACAGACAGACAGACAGAGGACATGGCTGCCTTGTTCTCAGCCGAGATTGCCTCCCCCCACCCCTTGCAGTGTATTCCTTTCCCAGCCAACTTATGTCTTGATGACCAGCTTTTGGCACTCAGTGGAATTGGCCCCAGTGCCAGGTTCCAGCAGGACTCTGCAGAGAAAACTGCAGTGACATCTTAGCTATTGCTTTGGTTTTGAGAGGATAGTAGAACAGCTTTGATACAGTTGATAAAAGAATGCTAGTTTTTTTCCCCTGGGTTTTTCCATTTTTGGAGTTCTTTGTAGATCCTATCCCATGGGATGAAGGTTTTGTTTCTAATTTTGCTTTAATGGCTTCTCTTATCTGGCCTTGGGTTGTGGGGAGTCTAGTTACACTTAGCTTGGCCTGCTGCAGTTTTTCCTGATGTTGAATATACTGTGAGTGGAATCACAGTTAGACCAAAACACTATTTTCTCCTATTGCTTATACACAGCCTGGAAAATCCATTGCAAACTCCAGTTCAGCCGCCACAATCCAGATCACAATGCATCACAGGAAAAGATCGGGTAAAGTGCAGTAAAGGTATTATCAAAAAGCAGAAAGCTGTAGGTGAATCAGGCAATTGAGCCAACTTGAATGTTTCTGAGGAGATACAAAAAAGAGAGCCAGGTGGAGAGCAAGTACTTGTTACCTCTGTAGCAATTCTTGTGTATGCAGAGTACTATTTATCTACAAGACATTGGGAAGGCCATCTAGACACGTTGCAGTATTTCACATATTTTCCCAATGAATTTAGTGAGACTTATTTCTGAGTAGACATAGAAACATACGAACAGAGTGAGTCAGAAGGAGCCTCCCGGGCCATCTAGTCTGACCCCCGGCTCCAGCCAGCTCTGCTCACGACATGCCCACCATGTGCATGTCCAGCCTTTCTTTGAACACCCTCACTGATGGGGCCTCAAAGACATGCCCAAGATTACAATGTAAGTGAACTTCACAGTAGAGTGAGAGCTTGGTCCTTGGTTTTCCATGCCCATATCCTTGATTTAATCCATAGGTTGACACTCCATTCCTCTCCTTCATCAGAGCATGAACACATTTCTCATTCACCCTTGCAGTAACCGTGAGAACTCTTCCAGTGTGCAGGTGGAGAACAGATGGTGGAATAATGTTACTTTTTCAGGCTAGTGGATTTTGAACCATGGTTTAAGACATGGATCACACACACACACACACACACACACACACACACACATATGTGTGTGCTTTTTTATTGCTGACAAACTTGGAATAACCCTCCCTGCAGTCCAGGCCCAGTTCCATGTTCTTATGTGTTAACCTAGATTAGAATCTTCCCTGTTGGTAGGAATTGGAACCCCCTTGGCCATTCTTAAACTCCACTACAATTGTCAAGATGTCCTTGGTAAAGCTGTGACCATTACACATACCTCTTCTGGCATAAGTCCTATTAAAAGAATGGGAACTTCTGAGCAAATATTGATTAGGAGTGTGCTATATAATCTGTGCAGCATGACCTTGAGTGCACTCCACTGCAGAACTGCCCAGCCTGGTGAAGACTGTGACTCCCATCATTCCTGTCCCTTGACCATGTGGCTTGGACTGATAGGAACTGAAATCCACAACCTGTGGCAGGCACCAGTTTGGGGAAGCTGCTTAACACTCCAGACTAATTCCTGATCATTTCAGCTTCCTTTTCTCTCCCCACACTCTTGCCACTCCACTCCCCCCACCCCCCAGATATAAAGAATGGTTTTGAATCCTCAGTCTGGGAATATAGGCTTGAAAGGCAAAACTCTGAATGGATGACTTGGTCCTCAGTAAGAGATTTCTAGTGCCAGGACGAGGAGGAGTTTCAATTCTTTTTTGTAGCTTTTTGCCCTGCCCCAGGGTAGAATAATACATTATGTTAAATAGGCAGCTATAGACAAAGTTGCTTAATTTCCATAACACAGGGAGATTTCAGTTTTTCCTGGCACAGAATTCCAGATGCTTTGGTGAAAAATGTTGACCTAAAAAAGTCCAACAAACCCTGGTTGTAATAAAATCTTTGTCTTGCATGCTGATCATTTGTGTCCCCGTTACAGCACTTGGAGGTTTGAGCCCCCTGGAGTTATTTCTCTGTTGATTGTTTGGGGGGCAGCAGTGTGTTTGGTGCTGTCACAGAAGAAACCTGGTCCTTCTCCGAAAGTATCATTTTTGATTACAGGGATTCATTTATTTATTACATGTTTATGCCACCCCAAAACAAAGCTGTCTAATGGTTTGCAAAAATTAAAACTCTAAAATACGAGTTCAAACATAGACTAAAACTTTAACATACAAACATTTGAAAACAATGTAAAATGGCTAAAAAGTGTGTGTGTATATACACACTCAGTAAGCAACTAACATTAAGAAGCCCCATCATTTGTAGGATTAGAGGAAAGTCCTAACCTTCTGCAAAAAAGATGAGCATCTCCATTTTTTGATGGTGGCACTCAACTCTCCAGACAAGTTGAATTTCCTTGCTGGTGGTCAGATAGGCTCCTGTGAGTATTGCCTACTCAGGGAAAGGCCTCACAGGTAAAGAGAGTACATGCTTGGATGATGAGCCATTGCTTTTTGTTTGCAGGTAGGAAAAGTACCCTATGTCTTTGACTAAAATTTGGTACAGCCAGTGGAGGCTTAATCCAGCCTTAGGATTTCAGTCTGGCTCCCCCATGGATGGAACAGAAAGGGAGAGTGTGATTCGAAGATATGTCTATTTTATTCTACTTTTCTCCTGTTTGCAAGTTCAGGACTGGTAAAATGGCTTAAAAATAAAACACTGCCCAGTTACTCTGGAACTGTTCATTCTTGCTGTGAATGTCACCCCAATGGCATTGCTTTTTCAGTGCTTTTTCAAGAAACTAAAGAAATGTTTGATCTTGGAGGTAGGGGTCCTTGGTGAAGACTGTATTTGGTCATTCAGGGTGGAATCCTCCACCAGAAGATAGTTTTCTTTCATCTGAAGAGGTATGTTGTGTTTTGGGAGTTCTATTCCCTCCAGCCACTAAGTAATAGTATACAGTTAAGCTTCTGTTGACCTTTTTTAACCTAGTGCACCATCTAACATTAATCTCTGGCTTTGAAAATATAATGACGGTCATGTTTCTCTTCACTTTAGCTCTCTGCCTGCCCAGGAATCTGTACTAAATGTGCACCAGAGTTGAATTTTAGTTGGTTTTTCTGTTCTAAGAAATGGGGGCCAGCCATGGCTTCTTTGTCCCCGAATGCCTGCTGTAATCTGACACCTATCAGAGACTAATTGATTTGGTCTGCAGTGTCCATCTGGAGGCTTGAAACTGAACTCCAGCCTTCATGACCAGGAGTGCTGCTAGGCTTGGGCCCTTAGGGCCTTGAATCACTTCCACGGAGCCCTGAGTGCCAATTGATGCCACTGGGAGAGATTTTCTCAGCTCACTTGCTATGCAGGGGACCAATTTCAAAAGGGATTGCAGCTACCTAGGTACTTCAAATCCTGGCCAAAGTATCTTCCCTTGCAGGGCAAACTACTCTTAGAAAAAATGTTTTTTATTGATAGGGATAGCCTGCACCATCCTAGGCTACTGAAGAATTAATTTTATTGAAATAATTTGGATGCAAAATTAACTGGCTGGTTTTTCCTCCTGTAAAATATGAATGAAGACTAGTACTTATTCTGATTAGTAATGAAGATTCTGTAAATGAAGACTAGTGATTGTTTGTGCATAGAAACCTAAATTGCCAATCATTGCTCCTGTTCACAACCTCTCTCCTAACCTTTGTATGTGTTGTGTCTTCCTGTTTTTTGCACCATCTAACCTGCTGGAGTGTTTTGGAGAGCTTGAAAGCTTGTACCCTCTCTATTGCAATTTGATCCTAATAAAAGTATTGCCCAATTCTCTGTGTGTGTGTTTAATGGACCAGCATGCCCATCTTTGTCTTTACATGTACAAGGCTTGGACTTTGAGGAGCCTGTCCTCAGTTGAGGGGCAGCCATAAAGCACATCTCTCCACATACCCATTTGCTAGCCATTTTTCAGCCTGTGAATGACACAGCCAAAAGATACAAAGAAACAAAGGCTGGCTGTGAGGTATTTCAGGCCCAAATTGTTTCAAAAGCAGCACCATGATCACCTGAGTCTCAGTCTCTTAATCACTAGAGCACACTCTGAATTGCAAGACAAGGTGTCCAGGGAGCAGCTTGACAGTGCATGGGAGAAAGCAGTTCCAGTCCCAGCTCAAACTGGGCCTGCTTCTTGAGGTGTGATTTTTACACTGGAGCTCATGAGCACATGTGTGTGTGAGAGAGAGAAAGAGCAAGTGAGAGCTTCTTTAAGGGAGGTATGGGATAGTTGCTAAAAGCTGCCCCAGCTCCTTCCTTGGCTTTATCACAGCCCTGCTTATGCACTTTGTTGAAGTAAGCAGGTGAGATGCTGACTCTATCTCTTATTTGGAGAGTGCTGCACCAGAAATTATCGTGCCTCTTTTTTTTACTAGTAGATAGATGCTAGTAGTATTGTTAAGACCTCACTGCAGTGTGTTGTGTATGTTGCGTGTTGTTGTTATGGTTGCTTTGTT